TTTCAAACAAATAATTTAGTTGTTACATCTTATTTATAAAAATTAAATATTAAATTAAAAATTAAATATTTTAATTAATCTAATAATTAATTTAACTTAAGTATATGAAAAGTATCAAATTTATATTTGTATAAACTAAATATTTTGTTTATACATATAAAAATGATACAATTTTATAATAATTTAAATAATGTATTTATATTTTTTGTTTATGTAAACAATGTTGAAAGTTTTGTAATCTTTTTCATTGTGTAATATTTAACTAATAATTCTTATTCGTAAAAACATTTAATAAAAAATAAACTTTTAGTAATATATGTATACGTACAATATAAATAATGCGTGGCTCTCTGAGTGAGCATCCGACTTGTATTCGGCTGATTCCGAGTTTCGATCCCGAACGTTCACTTACTTTAGGGTATTTGTCAGTTGAAGACGCCTTTTGGAAGGCATCTTCAAATTCGGCGGCATTTACATGTGTAATGGTTTTACGCATTGCGTTTTTATATAAATTACGAAAAACTTAATCCTTAAACCTTAAATATAAATCTTAACATATAAATCTAAACATAATATTTGGTTTGAATAACCCAATTATTTGATACAATTGTCCAAAACAAACCGTCTAAAACAAAATTGTCCAAATAAACATTTTTGTTTGGCATTATAAAATTTATTTTATTACGATTCTTTGTTCCTATAAAAAAAGTAGTATGTTAAAAGAAAGAAATGTAAATAACAAATATTTTTTATGATAACTAAACAATTTGTTTGGGTATATTTTAATCAAAATTTTATGTTGTTACAAGCAGAACCTGATTTTTACAACCAAATATTTGTCTTAGTATAAATATAGTTAATTGTAAATACAAAAAAATATAATATCATTGAATATCATCTTAAAAATTCCTAATGATTTCTCTCTCTCTTTCTCTCATCAATATCAATAATTATATTATATCCACAATATTCAACAAGATATATAGATGGCTAATTGTTCTACATTCTTTACTATTGCAACTATCAGTTGTAATAGCCGTTATGCTCGCGGTTTATTAGAGTCTAGGTAGTATAGTTAGACGCACTGGGAAGCCTCATATACTAGAATTCTATTATTACATCGGGTCGCCGGCTTAAACTCAGTTGGTCTTGGCTCCCTAAACTGTGAGAACGGGTTTGGTTTTCGCACACCTGAGAGTGAATTTCCATGGCCGATCTCCGCTGCTAAAAACACAACGCAATTATTTGATCATCCTTTGGCCAGCACATTTTTGATTATTTCTTGTCACTTGTCAGCGTTCGTTATCGTTGCCCGGCAATTGTTATCAGACATTATAGTTCAGTGTAAACAGTACAAGGTGTAAAAAATGCCATACTACAACGACATCCCGTACTATTATGGAGGAGGAGCTTATGTAAATCATAGCTCGTTAATGACAGGCACGGGACGGTAAGAATAAAGCAATTTTATCTTAGTGCGAGTATAAAACGTTGTAACATCATATAAATGTCATTTTGTTTGTATTTATAATATTTAGAGTGAATTAGAAAGAGGAAGAGAAAGAAATTCGAATCTTTTTATTTTTTGTTTTTTTTTGTGGTCAGGCCAACATTTGTTTTTTTGAGCGGACGTTGATTGGTGGAAATTTTTCTTAGGAATCGTTATATAGATATGTACATATATGTTATGTATAAAAAGTTTTACACAATAATATTTTCGTAAAAGTACGAAATAGATCATATAATCATAATATATAAATTTTTTCCTCGTTTATCTTTCATACTAGAGATTTTGGCAAGACGAGTCAGTGATTCATATGACTCTTCAAATCACGTGATGTATGTATCGATAAATTTAAAAGTTATCCTAAACTGAAATCTAATTACGTTTTGTTATAAAAAAAAAGATTAAATATCGTACAACGTTTTTATTTATATTATTAGTATCATAAAAGTATTTTATAGTAACATTTTTCTTAGCATAATTACCATAAAAAATGCTATCTATTAATATTTTCTTTTTGTTTTGTTTTATTTATTGTGTCTAATATATAAGAAAAACAAGATATAAATGAAATTTTTTTGAGATATCACATAATTTGAAAAAATTTTTCTCAAATGCATTATATGGTTATATATAGAAATAGCATTATTTTATACATTGATCATTTTATCAAACAAACCATGTATGCCTTTCACATATGTACAAATGTTGGTGAAATGTTTTCACTTCGTAACGTAATACGAAACAAAAATAACTATTTCGCATTGAAGTAAAAATGCGGTAATCGATTGAAGGACTGGTTAATTGATATGGGTGTAAGCATATGTATATAAGCATTTTATCAGATAAATACGTAAAGTGTTACTAATCATATATAGATTATTAAATTGTAATTAAATTTGTTAAATATTGTTTTATGTGATTTTTATACTCTTGCTTAAAATAGAATATTTTTTTAAATTGTACGATAAATTAACAAATTATTTATATTAACAACAATATTTCTTCGCACTGTTTAAGGCTCGAAGCCCCTAACGGTCAATTTTGCATTTGACAATTCAAACACCCATAAGAGAAATTCATTTAACGATTCACAAGAAAAATATCCGCCAAAATAATAGTAAATTTATGCAAAATGTGGATTATGATCGTGATTACGAACAATTATAATGTCCATGCAGAATACCTTTTCACACTCCACTGTCACGTTTCTCGCCGCATCTATCAACTATTTCGGAATCTCCGCTCAATCACTTGCATCGTTTCTCTATAAGACCTCCATCGATATCCATAAGACATGCGAGACGAGTAATAGACACGGCAGATATTGACGTCTCATCGCCGAGAATTCTCTCACACAATGGGAGTCGTCCTAGGAATCGCTTGCATCGCAATCGTCCGACCATCAAGATCAGATCGCAGGCGTTGAAAGATAATCCTGTATTACGAGAACATAATGAAAAACACGAGAAGTCAGTGGGCGAGCTCTTGATGGAGAAGTTCTTTATTAAAGATAAGAAATCAGATGGCGACGGAAATCAACAGACACGTCTATATCATCAAGTCAGCTTGAATCGCTTAGAGAATCTTCAAGAGCAAGAGGCTGTACAAAAGCGAATCACTCGCAGATTTACACGAC